GCGGAGGGGCAATCAAGCTAATCGGTGGCTACATCTCTCGCTTTCCCGGAATCGATGCCACACCTGGCTTGACACGAATGGAAAAATTCTCCAGATCGCAGTCCAACCTAACGAGTGCGAAAACTGGCTCCAAGCCTAGGTTTCCCGAAATAACCGCCATTTCGAAGCCTCACTGCATCCCGCGCGCACTGCGTGCGTTTGGCGCCGCATATCGCGAAATATCGATATAAGGAATGCTGAAGCTAATTTATCCCCACAGGTTGCGGGGCTCCGACATTCTTGAAAACGTACGCATGGCACTACCCCAGGAATGAGCAGAATTACGCAACGGACTTGATATGGTATAAATTTATCGAAGACTCGGATTAATTTTCTCGACCTGGAATGACAAGAGAATTTGTGGCGGAAATTCTACGAGAGCTCTTAAGGTGTAACCCTCATCAATGCAACCTAACTAAAATAGCTTCCAAACGAAAGTTGCGAAGGCTGATGCCTCATTTTCATCCTTTCAAGTTCAAAAGAATCATGGAGTGCACCCAATCTTCATTGGGTGTACGTCACACCAACAACTAAAAATAAATAATAATAAAAACCTGAAGTACAAATACTGAGACCCTATGCGCGAATATGCATTTCCAGATACTGCATTTTTGTTTCATTAAGGGTCTATGTGAGGACTGTAATCGTTCTTGTCGGAGAAACATTTTCCTTATGTTCAGACTGTAATTGAAAATAAACTTTTTTAAAACAACACGAAGCTTGCTTCATACGAGTCGTGGCATTAATTACAAAATGGTTTGTAGATTTCTCGGCACGATTTAGGTACCCAATGAACTTGATGAAAGAGCTCCGTGATCAGTATTGTTTCGAGTGATTCACAAGATTTCAAATGCATTGGAGTCAGTTGACAGGACATTGAACCTCACTCGAATGGAACTGACGGATAAGGTGACGCAAGAGTTGTATTTTTTCTTTTTATAGGAAATCACGTTAAAATATATCGTTACTTGAAAACTCACGTATTAAAATTTAAATGCCTTAATAATGCAAGAATCATTCCTATTGTAAAATTTGGCTTTACTAGATCACAGATTTGAGACAGGCCATGTTCATCACTTCTACATGCGTTGGAAAAAAGAGTGTGGTGAGCGGCAGGATGCGTATGATGGACTGTTCGCGACTTCCGGGAAGTAATACGTAACGACTAGAAAACCCAAGGGAAAATAACGCAAATTCAACGAAAATTACTTTTTTAGTATAACAAAAGAAAACCCGGAAGTACATCTGGTACTCCTGGGACACAGCATTAGACAACGAGCGTTTAACTGTGGAAAAAAGTAGCGTGTTATCCTCCATGGAAGCTGAACCAACCCGCGGAAGTTCAACGGGTAAACGGCAAGGGGAAAAGCGAAAAATATGCCTTTAGATTTCCCTCATCCCTGGAAGTATCACAAAGGAAACGTCTGGCTATTCCACCCGTCGATCCTAGAGGGAGCCGCCGTCTTACTCTGCTGAAATACAGTATTCGTACTTGACGTCAGGCCCTCTTTGGGCACCCCATTACTTATGCGTACGCGCTCAAGGCAAATTTCGGAACGCCACAATTGATTCAGAAATCGGATGAGGGAAGAAAAATGTTCAACACCTCGGGACAATTGCTGAAGTAACCCATACAATCAATGATCACCTTCGCACCTCAGCCGTAAACTCAAGAAACAGCTACGATAGAATTCTTCGATGAAGGAAAAAAATCGGCTAATACTCATTCCTGAGAAGTAGGCGATCAGGTGAGAGCGAACAACGTAGCGCATTCCAGAAAGTTGTAAAAATTAAATTTAAAAATTGGAATTCTGTACTGTGCTTCGCATTTATTTCCCGCGTGAACCAATTCTAAACATCAACCTTAACCACTCGGGACTTGCCGAGGAGTTACCGGTCGCCATTCTCTCTGTGACACTCCGAAAATCCCTTCCGCGATGACCTCGGCCATTCGAATTCAACATAACCTCATCGACCAGTTCAAAGGTCAGATCGAGAGATTGATTTCTCTCGCCTGGGCGGGCACGGGAGAGTTTATAAGCTTCTCACGGACGGCGTCCATTAACAGCTCCATCGTTCGTTCGTTGAAAAAAAAAAAATCTTCCCAGATTCCTCTCATTAATCATGACCTAGGATTTACACAGGCTGAGAATTATAAACGGTGACATTTCCCATGTGTCCACGGACATCGACGAAGCGGCCGCTCAGGTAACATTCATTCTACGCTTAAATAAATCCGAATCCATACTACGTCATCGCAGTTCAATGCTTCAGCAATGCGACTAGACCTATACAATTTCATACAATAGGGTTCAGTAATATCGGCGTACTGCTTGCGTTAGGCAGGCAAATTCCAAGAATTAATGTTAAATTCTGAAAAATATGCTAAAATTCCCAATTCATAAATCGTCATGTCAAATGTTTCTGACTTCGTATGAATGCAGTCCTCGGCTATTCTTTCCCTAACGAATGTTTTCCACTTTCGTATTGGCGAGAATCCAAGCTCAACTCCATGTCGTTTTCACCCTTCACATGTAAAGAATCAAACCGAAAGGTACCAACACCCGTTGACGATCTTTATAGCCGAACAGTAAATCTAGGTCGGTCAAGAATCCAAACGAATCTAAGCCATCGATGAATTTTTCAAATCTCCGATTATCCAGCTCTTTGGGAAGAGGAACTGCGTACAGATAAAATCGATAATTCCGATTGACAGGATAACCTAATACTGTACTCTTGAATGAGTGCACGGAGTTGGCTCATTAGTCCGCAAATACCGTACTTCCAAGTCAGCGACTCACACCGCATTTGCTGAATAACTAGCAGTATGATTATTTGCACAAAACTGTAACCCGATTTTGGATTTATTCAAGAAAATATGAAAGCTTACATCGATTCCATCGGAAATAGTTCTAGCAGCAGCAGCAGCAGTAAAAACAACATGCGCACCTGGACTTATCGGAGGCATAGTTTATTCTCAGAAAAAATTCATTGATGCACGTATTTCATAATGTATGAATCCTCCTACCCTCGAGTCGCCACAGGTACTCCCTCGGCAACACGACCTGAAGAACGCTTAACGACGGGGAACAGGAGCCACGTGGCATGAGGGTTTCTGGGACACGAGAGATCTTTCAGCCCAGCAGCGAGTCGATTCAGGATAGGCAGAAACTATTCCCGAGCTCTGGCTATACTCGACCGCCAGCAGCTCGACAAGATCCTTCCTGAATACAAACCAACTGAAAACGCATAGGGCTAATCTCAATACCTCCAAGAAATGAACAAAACCCGACTGAAGAATTATCTTCCGAACCGAGTTCATCCATCCATACCAAGACATAATAACTACAAGTGATTCAATTAGAAACGAAGAGAACGAGACTCAAGGGGAAAATGCGGTTTCCGGTAGGAATGAGAAAAAAGGGAGGCTTTCCTCGATAGACGCTCCGCGACTTTTTTTTTGCGACACTGTTCACAGATTATTAACCCACATAAATTACTTAGCGTTCGACGTCAAACCTGCCAGAAGAAACTGAAAATGGACTAAGATGGGGAAATTACCCCTTTATGATCCGACGCTAAGAAATATTTATTCCGACTTCGCAGCAAGTATTCTTGATCCGCGCGAATAAATAAAGCAAAAAAGAATCAAATCTCATGCGAAATCTCTGGTCGCATAGTTCCGTTCGAGAAAGTGACGATCGAGTGCTGAATAAAAACTGACCAGGATTTACCGAAGCGGAAGCCGATCACTTCGGGTTCACGCCCATACAGCAAACAGCGCATGATGATTCGTTGGCGTTAAATAATTATACAGGCCATTTCAAACGTGACTTGGGGGAATTTCAGTTGCATGAGCCTACTAGAGGAATGACGTGAGGGCTGATAAAAATCTGGCGAGAGCATTCATGTTGCGCAAGAAAAAATTATGCTTTCAGAGAAAATTACAGTTGGAAGATGTTTATAGCGTTTCATCTGGTGCCAATAGTACAAAGATTGGAAAGTTTCCAACTTCACGCTTTTTCTCAACCATTGAAAGCGAAATTTTGCTTGGCCCCTTACTCCTGTAATTTGAGAATCAAGGTCTACGAGTTGGGCACGCTAGACTGCGTGATTTATGGTCTTTGTTGAAGCTTTGCTTTCGAAACAGAGCTGGACATTCATTCACAATGTAAACCGCTCTAGTATTTCAGAACCCGGCGACACTTTGGACAGGCACTGTACTGCGAAGGTAGGCAAAAAAATTGGCACCGAGACGAATACTTCTTTTTTCTAGCTTTCATTATGAAGATACAGTACAGTGCAAACGGTCTCAGCTTCGCGCTTTTGGGTTTCGCACCTGAAGGAGATGAAAATAATACACTTATTGTGAGACCCGAAACAAACTGAATCCTTGCTCTTGTTCCTAATCCAAAAATAAGCCGGAAGAACAAGAAAGAGCCTCCAAGGGAGTGATTGAAACAATCGAAGCTTCCACTACACCCACTCGCCGGGCATTTAAAGCCACAAAGTCCTAGTCATCGTGTATGGGCCGTCAGTCAGAGACACAAGCATGCCTTCTTTAGGAATCGTGACTCTGCGCTGTAAGGCAAATCCTTCCAAATGAAGACAGCTTGCGCCCGAAGACTAGAGCTCTACAAAGCGCGGACGCAACGATTTTAATGGCATCCAGATTGCATCTGGAGAGCGAACATGGATCACACAAAAATGCAGCAAGAAGAGTGCCCCGTGGGGTTCCTCACCGGGAAGCGTCTCACCATTTGTAGAGGAAATGAGATACCATTGCTTACAGACATTCGACAGATTTTCCGTGTCAGACGAAACAAAAATGGAGAACCCACAATTCGATACAGCAAAACTTCATTTCGACACTGCGCAGCCATCTCGTCGGCCAACAGCCCAAAAAGCATGCCATCAGTCAATATGTTGAACTATTGTACCACAAATCCTTTAGTTCAATTTCAATAACACACTTCTGAAAAAAAACCAATCCTTACCCGAAGAGTTTCCAAAATTCAACAAAGGGCGCTTGAGGAGTCGACGGAAGCTGTTGTTACGTCGTGCAGGGGAAATGATGTTAGGTAACGAAGGGTGCCGCACGGATGCCACGGCCGAGTCACAACTGCCAGACGGCGGCAAGTGGCTCGGCGGCGGCGGTGGTGGCGGCGGCATCGAGGGCACCTTCGCACTAGCCCGGTCCATTACTCGCCGAAGGTCCCCATTCACCTGTGCCTCAGACTCGTCACTGCACCGGAATGCGTCACTATTCGTCGCGCGCGAATCACGATTACACCCCCCACGATAGAAACTGACGACAGGCGATGAATTCCGAACTCCGACGAGAAACACGTGTCAACAAATACGCGCCAAACGACCGACGCGGTTCTAGCACCGGAGACCTAAACGGTTGGAAGCGCCATCATTTGCGGAGGCAGGAAACGGTTTCGTCATCCTTCACAGGGGGTGCAGGTACCAACACCATCGCTTCTCGCCGCAACACACGGAAAACCTCACATAATGGCCGATGTTTCGACTCCCGCGGAATATGAAACGGAGCCTGGAGCTGACCTTCGACCTCCGATGGTAACCTACGCATGTCAACGGATGAGTGCCCCCTACCCCAGAAAATCTTGGGTTTTCCAGACGTTCCCGTTTTCAACCACTTCATAAGCAGGAAGCTGAATGCAACACGAGAGGAATCCTTCGCAAGCTGAAACCTAATTCAACGTCATGTCACAAGCAGTTATGAACTTCCGAGGATCGACGGAGAAATGCCACCAAAAGAAGGGATGCCCATACCGTCAAGATTATCGTGGACTGAAAACTGGGGCAAGCTATAATTCAAATTTGAGACTTAATAATTGTATACGATCACAACTTAGTTCGGGTTCGAATCCGCGACTGTCACTAAATCAGATATTTCTCTCCCAAGTCGAACTCCGTAAAATTTCGGATTCTGATAAAAAAAACCGCGAATACAATAACAGCGAACACTTGCTTGCCGTAATCATCAAGGAAACAGCTGAACTGACCAAAAACATTTCTCACAGAATAATTAATCAATAAAATAAAGTGAAGAACGTCTGATTGGTGTCATCGTTGATGACATCAATCAGACGCTCTTTTTGATCTCATTTTTCTAAAATACTACTGTATAAAACTACCTGTATTATATCCCAGGTTCAAAATAAACGAGGTCAAATCGTTCCAGCGATCAACCACAAAAACGTGCCCGAAAAATCTTGCGGAGGATTCATCTTCGAGAAGAAAAATAAAACAGCAATGCTTCCCGCTCCCTTTCCACAACACAACATTAGCATGCCTAACTGCTCCGCAACTCGGGCAAGGTTATTTGAACTGGACGGCTTAAGGGCGATTGAATCAGACCAATAATTTCCTTCAGAAAATCCCATAGGGAATTTTACGGTAATAAGAAGTACCCGCACGAGAGAGAAAATCTTCTGGGGGGAATCGTCGTTCACAGCTGGATCTCAGTTCATAACTTGCATGCTCGAAGACATAAATCACGTCTCGAGCTGAATCCTCGACAACAGGTTCATGAAATGGTCCGGTGCAAAAAATCATTCCACGTTTTTACATTTATCCTACGATGATTCACGAATGAACTTTGACTAATTTTGAGTAGGAAATCGTGTTCATCTTTCGGATGCATCAAGCTCGTCGAATTTTTTTTTCAACTAATACCCTACTTCAAAACGAGGGTTGTTCCACTTGAGCGCGACCTGGGATATTTCCAGAGTACTTGCATACATGACTGTAAAAAAATTAATATAGCCCATGATGTTGTCAACTTCTGGGATTTTCCTGGCTTTTGAGAATACTTTTTAAATTTATTGCATGATGAGTAAAAACTTTCCATTTATGTTCTCCACCTATGTTACGGGGTTCTAAAATGTGTAAGGCAAGCTGAAAATTGAAATTAATTGTTGTTTTAACCAGTCTAAATTGTACAAAAGATTATGGTTGAAACAACGAACAAATTTCAATTTTAACTGGTCTGAATTTTTTTGGCACTCTGCGACATGGGTGGAGAAATCACGAACAAATTCGAGGATATTAACGCGAAGCATTCAGTGGATTACGCGTCGGAGGATGACAAACTGTATTTTAACATCAAGAGGGTGGTACATTTCAGACTTCTTATTGCGTCACAGGGCGGACCCGCACGTGCAAGCGCGCTGAGGGACTTAGCACTGGGACTCCAATTCAAATTATTGCCTAGAAAGACATGGCTCCGGCAAGGGGCAACATTACGACACTTGCGCCTCTTCCACGAATGAATTAAAAGCAGTAGCTGAAATTTGAAAATTGTTTCTGAAGACTCATTCAATTCTTCGAAATATCAAAGTACATCCTTGGATGAACAAAGTTTCACCGTGTACCGTTATAGGCTGTATACCGATTTTTGGCGTCACTAGAAGTAATAAAAAAGGTATCGGCCGAATTTTAAATTTCAAAGAACGAGACATACAAAAACCTGGCAATCCCCTGGAAGACAGCAGAAGAATGGCTATTATTCTGCATTAAAAATGAAAACGGGACATTCGAAAACGTTCAGGGTGCCGAAAAACGACCCCCAGTACGTGCACAATCACTCAGCAGTGAAGTCCAGAGGAAGTCAAGCGGCGATTATAATCCGGTGAAATGGGACACCCGTAGACTGAAATCCTTTTGGATGCTTGACAATTTTGGTATTGTGGACTGAGAGAACATGGGAGATCGCGGTGTGGCCTGAACTGGGATATGGTACTTCCGCGAGCACAGTATAAGACGCATGTGTGCGTAGGCCGCATCTTGATTTTGAGCAGAACGATCAGAAAAATAACTGCAAACACAGCATTATAAAGGGGCGAACATGAGAAATTCGCAGGTACAAAGAATATGGTACTCGAAGATATTCTTCCTTTACCCGTTCTGCATGGGAAATGAGACAGGAATTATGCAATACTTTGATTGTATGTTGCATAGATGAGACTGAGGTGTGATTAATACTCGGATACTTTTCAAGCGTACGCCACACCCGAATTTTTTGGTGGACTTTCCGAAATGGAGAGAAGAAAAAAAAGCGCTAGGATCTATAAAATACGGAAATTCAAGAAGACGGCGCCGGAAGGGATAACGGGCATGCAAATCCGCAGCAGGCCGAAAACGACACCCAGTACGTGCACAATCACTCAGCAGCGAGGACACGCGTGAACACTTCGCGTGTGCCAGAGTAAGCAAGCGCGCCTGGGGATGTTACACGCGGGGTCCGCGCCCCGACGCCCACTCACATCCTCAAAAATTGCTTCGCGACACATTTCCACCGGGATTGCTCGCGGATCCGAGCCATCCACATCCCGGCGCGCCCAACTTGCCGGACCCCACGCCAGCGATGCACGGCACGCAACGAGCCACGGCGTCGTTCATCTCGTCAAGCGCCGCTCGTTGCGACGGCCCTGATCGCGCGATCAGCCCCGACTCCACCCGTCGCTCACCTATCTATCCATCCACTTCTCACCGCTTGGCATGCCCTAATCGTCGTCGCATTAATTTCCCACGCACGGGCATTAAGGCGAAAAAGCGAATCAATCAAGAGATCCTAATGAAAAAAGCTCCATCTCCTGACAGTACACTTCCCTTCTGTTAGCTCGTTTCCCTGAGAAATTAGATCAGCTCAATCACACGGTGAAAACAATCCCAACAATCGTATCTCGAGGACTTGCAAGGTTCTCACTCTTGATAAACCGCCTCAAATGTATAAACCTTGTAAAGCCAGTGCATACCTCAAATGAGAATGATATAAGATGTACTCAGTAAGAAGATACATCAAGAGCTACTGCAAGGTGCCAATTTCAATGAAACCTGGATGAAGACACGCTAAGTAACCTTGAGTGGAAAGTTGCATTTTCTCAGTCAGTTTGTGACAAGTGTCCTGCACAGGTAAGAAGGGTTTATATGCGCAATGAGTCGAGGATTTTCTGCAGCACCTCAATTAATTATTCTTGTAAGAGCGATTTCAGAAAAACACCGAAAATATCCCAAAACTTGAGAGTTTGTGTCTGCCGAAAGAAAAACCTTTATTTTATTTTTTGGGATTTTCCGATTGAACGACGGGATCGGATTCCTTGTTTCCAATTGAAGGAAACGTGGGATCTTACAGGTAGTCCACAAGCATCACATACTCTGCGGTAAAAATTATTCATGAGTAATCTTCAGCCCTTCACACTGAACGAACTCTGATCAGCTGTAAAATAATTTACAGCCACAATTGGAAAAGGTTTTAAAAGGAAGGGACTCTAAGCCGAATGAATCCACGGAAGGGATTAAAACATACAACACGACGCTATTAAATAAACATCCAACTAACTCGGCAATACAATTTTCGGCTTTGAAATAGGTTCGCCTTCAACAGTAACGTTCATGTACTGTATATCAGTGTTCCCAAAACCGTGGTCCGCGGACCGGCGCCGGTCCGCAGAAGTATTTTGCCGGTCCGCGGGAAATTTTCAGCATAATAAATGTAACATAAGTATGGATAGATTTCTGTTATCTCTACCTACAATTTTGGTAGGACAATGGCAGTTGAAATTATCTTATGAAAATAAAAGTCGGCTTTTCTCTCAAGACCTCAGACAAATTCACACCTGCTGAAATAAAATACAGGTAATTTTAATTTTTTTTCATTCTGATGAACCTTTCTTCGAGCCCACCTTTCCAAAATTTTTTTGAAAGCATTCCATTAAAAGCCTGCTTCATTGGGGCTTAACTCAATTTTTTCAAAAATCAGAAACTTTTGAATACCTGACATGAAGTCTTTCAAGCAAAACTTTTAGGAGTCAGCAACATTTCATGAAACTTTGCTGGTCCGCAGAAGTTTTTTTTTGGGAATTTGCCGGTCCGCGGGTCTTAAAAGGTTGGGGAAGATTATGAATGCTGTATATCACCCGTTTAGATTAGAATACCTCGCATTCCTTTCCATCAGAAAAAATTATGAATGAATCGCGAGTTAATTCATTTTTAGACATCATGAGCGCTATTATTTTAATCCTAAAAAAATGAGAACAACTAAAAGCTTAACAAGACAATAATAAATGTGTTCGCTGCACCAAGATGCAGTCCTGGAATAACCTTCACGTCAGTTTCTTTCCAATGAGAGCAACAGATTACTTGAGTTCCAGGTCGGAAAATATTCTTAACTGAAAGAAATAATTATTTTCAAAGGGCAGTTGAACACAAGATTTCTTCAGGCACACGAAAACATGAGCGCTAGCTTAATGAAGCTACAATGGGTACGGTGACAAGACAAACGTTTCACGCCCCAGATCGGCCAATGACACGGGAGAGGCAACCTTGAATCTTTCCACTCCTCTGCCAGAACACCACAGGAGCTTATTTAAA